TCCTATCATTTCCTATCAAACATCTGTTATCCTTATCTCTCTTTTTTTATGTTTGTTACTCTCTTGTAACACCTCTAATCTTCGGCACTTATATGATCTTATTGTGTTGCAAGTGCCATAAAATACTAATACTAAACTCTAATCTTCAACTCTTATATAGCCTTACAGTGTTGCAAGTGTCGTAAAACTCTTACTAAAACTAAAATGCTAAGCGGCCTCGCTTTTCTCTGTTCCCAGTGCAATGCTACCAGGAGTTCTCCTGCACAGCGGCGGTCAAGGGCAACGGCTGCAATGTGGAGTACGCTCTACACCTGCTGCACCTGGCCAAGGGAAACATCAGTGTCAGTGGCCTCATACAAACACATTTATTCAGTCTTCTCTCAGTGCTCTTTGCATATGTTACTTACCTTCTGTCTCCCAGAGTGGATGGTTAGCTAGTGCTGTGGTGTGGTTTGCTCCTTCTTCCCTATCAAATACCTTCTTTCTTTATTGCTCCTTCTCATTGTATGTTACTTTCTAGTAACACCACTAATCTTCAGCACTTATATGACCTATTTGTGCTGCAGCGCCCTAAAATTCTTACTAAAGGTGTTTTTTTTTAAAACTGAGACTCTCTCTTAGCAGGTTGCTTTTGATCAATATCTTCTTGTTTATTCTCTAATGGTTTGAGTATTACCTCTGTATATGTCTGTGCTGACAGGAAGCCATGTTGATGCTGATGGGGGATCCGCCTGTGTTGCCTGCCAGTCACCCGATGGTCAACTACAAGTATCAAGGTACAAGAATTCATAAATAATTCATAAATAGATAGGCAGTATTTATATTGTGCTTGTCACCACTCAAGCTTTATGCGCTCTACAATCAATATATTATTACCTCTGCAGACCCTATAACCCTCAGAAACATTCACGGCTTCCCAGGAAGCATACAGATGCTAGATTATTTTTTTAAAAACCTTTATTTGGTCTGTATTAGAGACTTATGGTATTTATTAAAAGATTCTTCAAAATGGTCTTTCTATAAGCTAATATTTCTAAAACATGCCCTTGAACGATTTCACATAAGAATTATCTCCCTTAACCCTAGGACAAAAAGATCTCCTGGCACAGGAGATTTGAAGAACTTAAATATTCTGCACAGCGATAGGGTGATTTGCATAATGTTTTTCACAAGATTTTACAATTTTTTGTCATCTGCTTTGTCATCATCAGAGTCCGATTCCTGGAACTCTAATGAAATGGAAAGTTTCTACAAGTCCATCATGGTGCATGACAAGGATTTCTTCAAAGTGGCAGCAGATGTAAGATTGTTTTTGGGGGTTTTGTGGAAGGGTTTTTTTTTCTGAGTTTTCTAATTTTATTTTTAAAGGGGTCTGAAAACACAAGTGACATTTTATCTTTGTAGTGTTTAGTCATTAAAAGGTTGGACTTAATGAAAATAGCCATTTTACAGCTGTTATTTGTTTGTTGTTTAGTACAGGGTTTTACGGCGCTCGCAACTGCATAAGGTCATATGAGTGCGCGAAACACAAGTTGGTAGCATTCGCAACAGTTCACGGCATGGTTGGTCGACAATTAGTCTTTAAAATGTTAAAATACTAACATTCGGTGTAAATATATTTCCAATTTAAAACAACTCTTATAAGGAACAATTAAAATTTTAAATAGTACAATTTCACTTTATAATTTGCCATAAAGGCCGATGGCATTCATAAAATTCAAAATTCTGCTGGGACCAACGACGGAAAAAATGTCTTGCAATTTCTTGCATTTATAATATTTCCTTCGGATCTCTTCATAGTCTAGACATTCGGTTAAGATGTGTCTAATGGCAAAATCTGTGTCGCATCCAAACACAGAATGGCTTCTCATGTTCCTGGAGGAGGTATTTGTGGGTCAGGGCCGTGTGTCCGATGCGCAATCGAGTAAAAATGACTTCGTCTCTTCTGGAGAGGTCTGAAGGATTTCGCTGTTTCAGTTTGGGTTTTATAATATACAGTTTATTGTTTTTCTGTTTTTCCCAGTGGCTCTCCCGCAGACTGGAGGTGTACTTTTTGGCTTTATTTCTAAAGTCAGTCTGTGGGAGAGTGTTTGGCGTTGATCCCAGCAGAAGGGATGAGGCTTTCTTCGCCAGGTCGTCTACCTGCTCGTTTCCTCGGGTGCCCACATGGCTTTACAGCTGTTATCTCGATTGATTTTGCCATTGCTCAGCATAATATTAGTATGCAAGTTACCATTTTTGAAAGCTCGCCCATGATACAGCTGGTTTGCTGATGCCCTCGTTTGGTCAGTTCTCTTTACTTTCCTCGTCTGTTCCATATCAAGTGTGGAAATTGGGTTATTGTGTTAAACAGCAGCGCTACTCAACAGCCTGAGTGAAATAAGCTCCCTCTGCCAATGGTAATAATGTTTTTATTTTGTATTTTCTTTCAGGCGGAATGGGTGGTTTGCCGGAACTCCTTCTTTCCAATCAAATATCTGTCTTCCTTATCTCAGTTCCTTGTTTTCTTTGTTTGTTACTCTCTCTCTCTAGTAACACCTAATCTTCAGCACTTATATAACCTAATTGTTTTGTAACTGTCTTTGAACTCTTACTGAATCTAGAATCTAAACTCTTCCAGGTGGGCAGCAAGTCAGTGAAGCAGTGTGTCCAGTTTTACTACGTGTGGAAAAAAGTCTGCCCTGACGACTATCGGCGCCTGCGGCTGGCCCGCAACAAGCAAGGGGACTACAACACGCGCCGGCAGGCTGAACGGGTGGCCGCAGCTGCTGCTGCTGTTGCTGCGGAGAAGGCATTACAACAGCAACAGCAAAACGTGCCGACTACAGAGACACAGCCTTTGCCCGTGAAGCAGGAAACCGTTGCGGAGGAGCCAGGAGAGGGGGTAGATTCCGACAATACCAGTGGAGTGTCGGAAAATGATGACAGCCAAGTCACAGCTGAGGTAGGTTGTTTAGTTTAGTTTTAGTAAGATTTTACAGCGCTTGCAACTGCATAAGGTCATATGAACACCAAGGGGTGGATTGCAGCAGAGAAGTCCAAACGGGGAATCAGGTTTACTCTGCTCACCTCTCTAGCATCAACAGCACAAAGTCTGCTTCGACTATCAATGCACCCCGGAAATAGCAGTTCATAGTTCACAAGAGAATGACAAACATACAAAAGAAGTATATGAAAATGACGATACTAAGGATGAGAAAAGATAAAACTGCAGTTCCCCCTATGTTGTTCCGGCACAGTATGAGCTGACATTGATAAATCAGTCCATTTACAATTTTACTGTGAATAAGAACATGTTAATAACCCCCCTTTGGGAATGGCCTAAAGACACTTCAGTCAGTAGCACTGCCCTGGAGGTTTGGGGGGGGGGGGGGGGGGCAGAGGGAGGTTGGGGTTCTGAGTTGTCATGTAAGTCTGGAGTATGAAAATACTTACTTTTGACACCATGTTCATCTGACGTCATTTGAAAGTGGATAAGTACATGTGATTTGCCTTGCTCTCTGAATACTCTTTTGCAGTGGCAGCTCTTAAACATTAGTCACTCTTGGCAAAAACGTTTGTTGTTCTCTATTGATAAAATTATAATAATAACTGCAATTATATAGCTCATTTTCGCACTCCACAGCATGCTAACTAAAAAGCAAACTGCAAAGCTTATTTTCATTGACAAAATCGACTGAAAGCACATGGTAAAGAGACATCCTAATCATTCAATGCTACACTCGTGTCATTGTTTCCTGAAACAGAAATAAGTACCAGTGCATTTTAAAGTTGGCTCAGGTATTATTAGGTAAAGAGCGTTGCTGTTTCTTCAAATTCTTTTGCAGCTGACATGTTTAAATTCTATTTCAACTGATTTGTCTTTGTTTATACTAGTACGTGAGTACCAATTTGCCTGTTCACCTTTCTGTGAGTCGTAATCTTGATATTTTACTTGTATGTGAATACCAATTTGCATGGTCACCTTTCTGTAAATCAGTCATAGTAATTAACAGTGGGGTCTTTTCTTCTGTCCTTGTCCATGTCCCTTCAGATGAGTCAAGTGACCCCATCCACGGCCAGCTCCACTCCCACACACATTGAGTCGCCCAGCCCAGTTCCTCCCCGAGCTTTTCACTGCACGTACAAAGGCTGTTCAGTGGTGAGCAAGTGGTTATGGAGTCTTTATTTTTGCTGTCTTATCTTGTTCGTTTTAGCCAAACAGATTTTGACTTCAGTCTGTCACTTCTGCAAGTTGGTCTTCATTGAAACCATCGTTTAATTTTGGATATATGGAGTGAAGCAGACAAACTCTCAACTTTCCTTTATTATTATCTTTTTAATGGGTCCTTCTTTCTGTGTAGATTGCATGATTTGGTGTTTATGCCTGTCATCTTTCAGCAGTGCCTGAAGTACCAAAGTCTGGGGGGGGGGTTAAACATAGTTTACTAAAAATGGGAGCGATTTGCACCCATAAACAGTCTATTTGAGCTAAAGTGGATAGTATTTATTTATTATAGCTACAGTTTTGTAGGCTTCACTGCTGTTTTTAAATTTTAAGATAATAACCTTTTAGCCTTTTTTATCTTCCCCTGCATTTAACAGGTGGTTCACACTTTCAAAAGTGAAGGTAGCAAGCTGAAGTAGTTCATTTTTCTTTGTGGAAATACCAGATGTTCCAAGTTCTCTGAGTTACTATGAAAATATCAGTGAGGTAAAACTGAATTTTATTTTGTTCCTTCTCCCACCCTAAGACGTTCACCTCCAAACACAACTTGAAACGCCACATGCGCAAACATCAGGAGAAAGCGGCGGCAGCAGCAGCAGCGCAGACAGTGGCCGTGGCTACGCCTCAGCGTAAGCCACGGCCCAGCACCCCTAGCCGTTCTCCCGTGTATGACGAGTTTGGAGAGGAAATTTTCCCCTGCAGACTTTGTGGCAGGTGAGTCAACGAGGGCGGAAGTGGAAACAAAAACTTTGTGGAGAGGTTAATTCGGGTTTCAGCCTGAAGGCACTAACATTTAAGAAGAGGAAGACAAAGTAAGGACACTTGACAATATGTGACTGCTGAGTGTAGCCTCGCATCATGCGTACGTTTTGAGACTGGAAACAAGACAACTTCCTGGTGGCTTAATCTTAATGTAAAGGACAGTGGATTTGAAATGAGATTAAAAGAAAGAAGCCATCAAAGGTAACATGAGTTTTATTTAGTGCGTAAGGTTCTGCTACACTATTGTAATTGCAATGGGTTTCTTTTTAAATGAATTTAAAGGAATCACTTTAGAATGATGAAATGGGTTAGTTGTTTCTATCAACTTCTATTTGAGTCGTGTTTGAATGTCACAGGAAAATGTTCTGTGTTCTTGGTTGAATTTTTAAAAATCTCTGCTTTTCTCTTCCAATTTGTTTTCACCTTTTTTGTGTGTGTTGTTTTTATTTGGTTTATTTTAGTACAACTAATTTTATTTGTCAGCAAAGGATCATTTTGTACATTAATGGCAGGCCATGATGTTGTTATAGTGACTCTTGGGCCTTTTCCTCCTTACCCTGATGTCATGTTGTTATAAATTGTTGTTTGGTACAGTTGATATGTGGAGAGTACTTCAATGATGCAAGTAGTTTTTGGAAAAATTGATGATTTGGAAAGATGTCCACGTGTTTAACATTTTTTTTTTTTTCTTTTTTTTCTCTTCAATGCTCATACAGGGTGTTTGCAAAGGTGAAAAGCCGCAGTGCTCACATGAAGAGCCACAAGATTGCTGAGCAGGCACAGCAGGAAAGGAAGGCTGTTGAGGAAAGGAAGGCTGTGGAGGCCCCCTCGGCCACTTTTGGAAGTACGTAGGCGGTATCCTCATCTATCTGTTCTTGGCTAAGCTCGACTTCTCAGAAGATTGTGACTTTCGACCCAGGATTTGCATTTATACTACACGACAGCAAGGCGTAGGCTGTCCTGTTTGTTACTGGAATTTTCACATTGATGGACCTCCGCCATTCATGATATGGGTGATAAGACTGGAATTTTTCACTGTGCATAGACTTTGAAAGCAAAAATGAAGTTGTGTGCTAGTGCAGAGAGATGTTGCCTGTTTGCACACCGAGTGGGTCAACAGATGATGTTGTCAACACAAGTTTCGCCAATTTGCGGTGTTCTTACTGCCTGGAAACTATCGTAGGACTTTTGCTAAAGTTGATTGTTGTTGTCATCAGAGAGTAAAGTTTGCGGAATTGTTTCTGCTCTTGTAGTAAAAGTACTCTGATAGTTTGTTCCTAGTTTTAAAGCGAATCAGTTCTATTTTTGGCGAAATTTGTTTGTTTTTCAAGTGAAACTTATGGAAGTGTAAAGACGTACGTTTAATTTGTCAATTTGATCATATAATGTGTTTTTTCACTGTTATGAGTAGGTACACAAAGCTGCTTTCTAAATTCAGGTCATGATGTCTGCGCACTCCGTGTGTATTCTGGTCAGGGTTTCTGTGGTTCACTTTTTGAAGAAGGCAGAGCGTGTAAAGGGTGGCTGGATGGAGTAAGTGTGTAAACACTTTGGGGACTAGGCGCTGTGATTGACAATGACGACCAGCCACATCAGGTGGTGAAATTTCTGTGCCATGGGTGGAAGAACTAGGGCATTTAGTGCAAACTTTAGTCTCCTCAAGTTTTCAGATGTTTATTCCTAGTAGGTGAATGCTACTATACTTGTGGATATAGTAAGATGTGACATTGACGACGTCCAAGTTGCAGCACTTTCTCCCAAGTTTTCTTTTGGAAGGTTACTTGTTTGGGTTTTTTTGGTGTGTTTTTTTTTTTTACAAGTTGCGAGATTTTCAATATTGTACTTGCGCCAGTAGACTTATTTTTTTGTACACTCAGATGTAATTTCTATCAGAATGTGTAAGTAATACAGGATTGTGCAGTTGAAGACTTTTGCAGGAATGGCATTTTCAAAATGTTGTACTCAAGTGGACAGATAAGCTCATGTTGTTCGTTCTTCGAGAGGAGCTATCATTCTTTGGACATTTTCCTTCCTGGCAGTTGCCACGATGAACTGAGGAGAAAAACCCTTGTGTTACAGCTTTGCAACTTTCTCATTGAAGGTGAGAAGAAAGGGGGGCTGTAGGTCTGTGGTACTTTGAGAGGTTCCGGTTGTAGTCGGTTCTCCGAGAGTTTTATTCTTGAATATGTGCAGTTAAGTTTCTCTTTCTCTGCGACCTGTGCCTGGATTTTTGCGTCACTGCGGTTTGGAGTTGGCAGGTCAAAGTTCACAGGTCAGCAAGTGAAAGAGGACTGAGAACACAGTGCATCATCCCATGAAGGCAGCAGTGGGGCTTGTGTGTGTGTGTGTTTCGGGGTGTGTGTGTTGCGGATGTGTATGGGGGTGTGTGCAAAATATGAGGGCCTAGATTAATGTACCTTGTCTTAACTCATTGAACAATTTCTTTGCCATTTTGCCATATGGGCGGTCGGGCACACATATTTGGTGAGCCACCACCCCCCCCTACCACCATGTATGCCCCATCAAATAAGGGTAAACCATTTTCCTCAGCCAGGCTGTGTGTTTCTAGCTTTTCTTACATCATCTCTCAACCCTCCCCTTCATAATTTTTATCTTTGCTAAGACTTGTGAATGTCTTACTGACTGATATACCCCTACCTATCGCCTCGATTTCATCATTTTTCACAGTGTGGCCATTATCTTTGCATAATACTACATACTTGTCAATGGGTGGAAGCCCCTTGAGATGAAAAAAAAGGCCATGGTTGAATTAGTGTTTTATACATGTTTGTTGCTTTTTCTTTTTTTTTCTCGTTTTCCAGAAAATTTTATCAGCATGTATAACCATGTCTTTTTTAGATAGCAAAGTTTAGCATATAGCATAGAGTCTAACAAAGTTTTATGTACAATTGTAAATAATGCATAATGTTTCATATGTCCTGTTCCTTGGATTTTGTTGATGTACAACTATACCTAAGGCAGAAAGAATCCTATTGACGTAATCTCACACTTTTTTTTATGTTAACTTCAGGGCAAACTGTTTGTGTCATAACTCTTTCTGTGTGTTTGTGTTGAGATACTTTTGGTAGAAAGTGTTGTTCTTTTTTGTAAATCTTGTACTGGGTTGTAGAAAGTGTTATACCGTTGCTGAACTTTGTGCGACAAGTGAGATGGAAGCTTTGACTAAATGTGTGGTCAGTCCATTGTGAGGCTGGGTATAGAATCTATAAGAAAGATGGTCTTGTCTTGCTGTTATGGATTATTGTTTGTATTGCCGGTGGCAATGGGAAAGGTACTTGGCAGAAAAAAGGTTTGTTGTGATCTTGGTGTTACAGACCTTGTGTTGGCTGACGTTGGATGAAGAAAATTTGGCTTTGATGTTCATGCGACTGGAGAGATAAAGAGAGATGGCTGGCTGCATGTGCAAGTGAAGCCAGACCTAGTGATACAGGGGGAAACCACCCAGATTGTTTGACATTTTGTTTGTCCACAAGGCGTGTGATATAGAGAAGATCCCCACATTTTAGTGGAGACCATTTTTTTTCCCCCCAGTGGGTTCCGAAAGAAAAAGAAGACTGACCATGCTTATTTGTTTTAAAACGACTCAATTTTTTTATGCAAGCATTGACTGCTTCTAGTGTGTGTTGTGGTTGTTTTCGTGTGCGAGCGAGGAGTGAAGGGAGAAGAAAAATAGTGTATATTTGGTCTTAGGGTGAGACTCCACAGTGTTTTCATACCGCTATTGCGGAATGGAGGAAATTGTTTCTTGGACACTGGTTTCACTTTTGGGGGGCTTGTGCACGTGTTAATGTTTGAGATGATATTTACTGGGTATCAGGGTGCATGTGTGTGTGTGTGCATGCGTGTGTGTGTGTGCGTGCGTGTGCACATGTCAATGTCTGCTAACCTGGTGCCGGACTTGCTAGTGCCTCAAATTGTTTGGTGTCTTTCTGCAATGCTCTGCCCGCGTGCAATGTTGTAAGCTCAGACTGGAAAACTACAGCCCAGTGGGCTCTGTGTGTCCCGCTCCGCTCTCTTGTTACACCCCCCTCCCCCTTGTGCTCATCATCCTTGTTTTGTACTGTTCGGTGCTGGAAAGAGCTCACTTCTTTTTGTCTCTGATGCGTGCGTGCGTGTTCTCTGAGGTATTGGTTTAGGGCTGCTTGAGTTGCTCTGAGTAGCACTCCTATTTGCAGTTGCCTCAGCCGCCTGTGTGTACCTGTTGTTGTGTGTGTGTTCCCATGATCTCAAAGACGGCATGTTTGGAAACTTGAATTGTTTCAGTTCTTTCTGAACCAGTGGTTTTACAACAGGAGAGATAGTTTTCTGCTCTTCTGTTTTTCTACTTTTTTAGCTAAACTTCTTTAATTTGACAGGAAATTATATCTTGAGCTTTGGATGAAATTTTACTGCGAAGAGCATGTTTTCTTGCTTCCCTTCGTATTTTCTAATTTTAGATGGATTTCTTTGTAGTGTCTCTTAACTTAAAGTTTGAACTGTTTACCAGTTTGTTCTGCCATTATATTTTCTTTGACTAAATTAAATGTGTGGTAGATAGGACAACATAGTTCGTCATGTTTCATTGGTTGTGCGATTAGGAAAATGGCTGGTCATTGTTTTGCAGTTTATTAAAAAAAACAAAAAACAAGAGTGTGTGGAAGGTCAAGGTTTGGTCCTGGGTAGGGGTCTCAAAACTCAAATTGCTGGGGGAGGGGGGGCAGAGGTGAGGGGTGGGGGAGGGAGAAGAGGCAGAGGTGAGGGGCGAGCAGAAGTACACACAATTGTGAGGGTGAGACAGAAGTACACACAATTGTGAGGGGAGGAAGATGTCAGGGAAATGTGCAGGACATGAGAGGGGCACTTCACTCAGTGGGGGACATGTCAATCCATCAATCAATCAATCAATCAATCAATATATACACACATATTGTGTGTCAGGATACGGTGGAATCAGGCGCTCGTCAATTTTTGGACATGAGAAGTTTATTTGTATAATCTCACTGCTTTTTATAAAAGTTAAAATATTTGCAATTAAAGGAGGTGTGGGTCGTTTGGTTTCAG